TACTGTAATGGTACTAATACTAATGGCACTCATGTAATACCGGTATAATACCGGTAACAATAATAGCACACGGGGGTGGGCCATTCCACCGAATGGGTGCCATTTCCGTCCCCAGGAAATTTCATGTATAAATGTGCACAAAAAATAACTGTAAAATACATTTTATTATTAAGCATAGTGTCTTGTACATTGACCTAATTGCAAAATTAAGATATATAATTAAAAACATTAACAAAAACTACCTAGAACACTGAAAAAGTAGCATTTGTTACCTGTCCCCGCTCCCTAACTATACACTTTACCTTGAAATATAATTATTAAAATCCTTCAGAGATTTAATTTTTTTTGCATTGTTGTGTGACTCCAAATCCCATCTATGCTTTGAAAATATTTTTTTCATAAGAAAACCATAATATTTAAGTTAAAATACACATTTTAGTTGTGTCCCTAGATTTTCACTCAGTCTTGTTACCCTACCACATTACCCCATCTGAAAAATTTGGAACATTCCACAAGTCACATGTTCAACAGGAAGTTGCATCAGTTGGATCTTCTGCAGGCCATGGGAAGACCAAAAGTAAGTTCCCTCCTTTTTTTCCCTCTGTATTTGATCAAATTTTAACTATGACTGAGGAGGTCAATCTCAATGTTCTGTCCTGATACCTAAATTAATTCTTGGATATTATCTGTTTATTTTTAAAATACAAATTTTTGGTAGATCACTAGAATGTGCTCAGTGTTCTCGTGCTATTAGCATAGCCACCATGTAGTTATATTTCATGTTTTTGCTAATTTTATACTAAAAACTCAGTCCTGTTACTTTCAGTCCTGTTACTCATATAAAGAGTAACAGGACTGAGTGCCAATAACAGGAGTGAGTAGAGCCCTCTGGTTTATTGATTTATTAGTGTGAATATTAGTCAGTGTAATACTATTCAACTTTTAAGTTTTACAGTTGAACTTACTGAATTTGTTGAGATTTAAGATCAGTTTCACAATGTGGATACCATACTTACAGGGTGCCAAACCACCCCTAAGTGCTGCAGAAAAGCAGCGACGCTATCGTGCTCGACGTGATGCTGACCCAGAGAGGAGAGAAAGATATTTAGAGAAGGAACGAGAAAAATACAGGGAGGACCTAGAATCAGGCAGGAAGAAAAGGATCAATAAACTTAGTGAGAGAGAAAAGCGCAGACGACGCAAAAAGTGGAGGGAAACATACCATAGAATCAAGGACTGGAAAGAAGCTCTACAACACCTCATCACCCCTGCACACAGTCCCCAGCTATCAGCAGCACAAGCTGTAGATCCACAACCAAGCACTTCCAGGTGTAGTTTATGAAATGGGTCAAGTGTCAAAGAAAATGTGCAAGGGATGCAATAGGGCATGTGTGTGTGTTTGTTGCAATGTAATAAAGTGTTGTGCATAGGGCTGCAAACCTTGGAGGCAGAAACCTCGAGCAGAACCAGACTCAAAAAAAACTTGATTGCATTATAGTATAAACTTCTGCTTATCAAGTCACAGAGATAATGCAACAGTGCATTTTAACAACTGCAATGTGTTATTTAATGTGATGCACAATGTGTGTTTTAGGCAACATAATCAAGGGCAGAGAAGAAGACGAAAAAAACTAAAGAATCTTCAGAAGCAAATTCAAGAATTACAGGTTCTGTTGAAGAAACAAACCCAAAAAACAGAAAAGTACAAGAAACAAGTCCAGCGCATGAAAAAGAATAATGCTTCTCCACGCACAAAAGTAAAAAGGCAGATGAGACAGCTTCCACGTGCGGCCATTCAGAAGACACTTTTGTTTCATGAGTCTATGTTACAAGACATCCGAAACAAATACAAAGCAGCACAGGGGGAGAGGGAAAGGCAAATAATTTCAAAAATAATAACAGGAAAAGTTCTGAAAAAGTACAGGCTGCAACGCTTGGCTCAAAATTCATTGGGCTTTTCAAAGAAAAGATGGAAAAGTGAGAAAAATGGGAAAGTTAACTACACCTACCAGCGGAAGCAGAACAACAGGGTTGGAGATAGTTTGTTAAGCAGAGTGAGAGCTTTCTACTCAAGGGATGATGTGAGTCGCATCACAACTGGGAAGAGGCAGACCATCACTTGGAAGAAAAACAAAAAGCAAAAACGGTTCCTTTTGGATACCATGAAAAATTTGCACATGAAGTTTTTGGCTGAAGAAGAAAGCTGCATCTCTTACTCACTCTTCTGTTTGCTTCGACCTTTTTGGGTTGTTCATCCAACTCTGAGTGACCGGGACACATGCATGTGTAAGATCCATGAGAATCTGGGTTTTATTGTGCAGAAGCTACACCACTTGAAAGTGATCAGCACCGTCAATCTGCATGACCTTGTGAAAGTCATCACATGCGACACAGAAAACATTAAGTGCATGTACGGCAAATGTTCTGAATGCAAGGACCTCTCTTGCCCAGTCTCTAGCCAGTACAATGCAGAGAGTCAAGTGACTTATCTCCAGTGGGCAAGAGTGGATAAGGAACACAAGAATGACCCCACTGGCAAAACATCTAAAATCATAATCAAAAAAGAGTTCCAAACCACACAAGAAGAACTGCTGGAACTGCTGAACCTGCAACTGCATAGGTTTAAGAGACACATTTACAACATCAATAATCAGTTTAGCCACTACAAGGCACTGAGACATGGCTTGAAAGCACATGAATGTCTAATTCATGTTGACTTTTCCGAAAATTACCTCTGCAAGTACAGCACAGAAATACAGGCAGTTCACTTCGGAGCATAACACCAACAGGCAACACTGCACACGGGTGTGTTTTATGTGCATACATCCTCCCGCCCGATGTCCTTCTGCACAGTGTCCCCCTCAAGACAAAAGGGCCCACCAGCAATTTGGCAGCACTTGTCACCAGTGCTTAATGACGTGCAGAGTGCACATCCAGAGGTCTCCACCATCCATTTTTACAGTGATGGCCCATGCACTCAGTATAGACAGCAAGGGAATTTTTTCATGTTTTGTACTGAGCTGTTCAGGAGAGGATTCACTGCTGGGACATGGAACTTCTTTGAGGCGAGCCATGGGAAGGGTGCCCCAGATGGTGTGGGAGGAGCCCTGAAGAGGAGGGCTGACAGTCTGGTCAGCAAAGGGACAGACATTCCTAATGCTGCAGAGCTGTATGCTGTGTTGCAAAAGGCAGAAACAACAATCAAGTTGTTTTTTGTCAGTGAGGAAGCAGTTGAGAAGGCAGTTTTGGAGATGCCCAATGATGTGCCACCAATTCCATCCACCATGAGGATGCATCAGGCAGTGACCATAGCCCAAGGAGAACTGACATACAGAGACGTCAGCTGCTTGTGCACAACAAAACAAAACCTGACCTGTGACTGCTTGAATGCAACGCATTTCACGTTCAGTCATCAACAGACGGCTCCCACAGCCATGGAAGTTCAGTGGCAAAGTCCTGAAGTTGTTGGTAAATGGTGTATGGTGAAGTACGAGGGTGATCTATACCCTGGCATCATCACAGATACAAGTGAAACACATGTTGAGGTCCGTTGCATGCACAAAATTGGGGTCAACAGGTTTTTCTGGCCAGCACGTGAAGACGTGCTTTGGTACCTTTTTGAGGATGTTTTGTGTATCATCCCACCCCCGAGGCCAGTCACAGGTCGCTATATGGAAATTGAAAAAGAGCTCTGGGCCACACTAGAGAAGATCTCTTAGAAAAGGCCAGACAAGTTTGTTTTCGCACACACGCACACACACACACACACATGCACGCACACGAGCACACATGTCTTTGTTACCGAGTGTTCATTCCTGTTACCGAGTGTTCATTCCTGTT